TTCCTGGAATGTTTAAATTTAAACAATTTAGCTCACTGGTAGATACATCTATGTAATTTTGGTAGAAAATATATCCCAAGGTAACTGACACATTTGTACTGTATAGAGTTGTCAGACATTATCCAATTAAATGTTGGGTGACATCTGCCAAAAAGGGTGATTTTAGTTTGGGTGAGTTGGTTCTAAGCAATTCATTTTCACAGTAAATGGAAAGTAAGATTAATTGTCCACTAAGGCCACTTCTCATTGATGTTAATAAAACCATGTCATCAGCACTGGTTTTCCTTTATAGTAGGAATCATGCATCCAGTTTGTCCAGTTGTGGAATCAGGCATTAAGGCTGAAGTTAAAAGGACAGAGGGCCAAATGATACCTAAATCCTGCAATAAAACTATCATAGAGGGCTTTCCATGAGAAAAAGGAAGTAAACTATACAAAGGGCCCGTGCATAGTAGACAATAAACATTTTTCTTTCAAAAGGGCAGGGTAAGGAGAATAGATTTATATAATTCTATCCATGGGAAGGAGCTTAGGTCCCACAGAAGCAGTAGTCCAGCCCCTGAAGAGATACTGCAGCACCTTTCCAGGCCAAAGAAGAGGGGGTAGCTCAATCACATATGTCAGAGATTGTAAATGTAAAATCATAGGGAGATGCTGGAGGCTGCTACCTGATAGGACACTTTCTTTGGGGACTAAAAGTAGCCATGTTGACAAGAGTCAGGGCCAGGCTTGATCCCAGTGTGAGCACCCATGGATGTGCAGATCAGGTACCAAAAATCTCCCCGTGTCCGGCAGAAATAGTAGGCCATTGGTCATGGTGACAAGCCTTGCATGGCCTTCAGCCAGATGAATGGATGAGGACCCATCTCTGAGGTCTATCCAGGGCCTGGAGGAGGGACTGCAGGCTGCCTCAGAAGTGGGGTTGGGGCCTGATGGAAATGGATTTGGAGTCCCAGGCAACAAAGCAGTTTGGATGCTAAGTATGTGAATTTTTCCCCCATGCTTTTAACTCCCCCCAGGTTTGATGTGCAAGAGTTGACAAAAATAGCAACTGACTCCAGATCCTTAAAACATCAACAATAACAGCGGCAACAACAATACAAATACCCACATCAAGCGCCCCCAGTATAGATTTCTGATCCATAGAATCCCAGAAGTGTTGTTTTGATTTCTGAATAGCTTTATCTGAGATAAGCAACTTCTAGGCTCGGAGGCGGGATTTCTTCCCTGCAGTTCCCCGCCTCTGTCGCATCCATGCACCTTGTCATTTCTCCTGCACCAGGAGGTGGCCTACATGGGCTTATGAGCCTTCTCCTTCAGTAAACGCAGACTCCTAGCTCAAGTTTCCTGGATGGCCTGGCTAGGTTGTGGCCTGTGGACTACAGGCATCATCACCACCTGGGGTATTCATTATGAGTGTAGATTCATTGACCCCAGCCTACTGGATTAGATGCTCCAGAGTTAGATCCCAGGAATCTGCAATTCACAAGCTCAGTTGCCCAATATGTTTTTGGAACCCTCACTTTAATGTCTTCCTGGCAGCTCAGATGTCTTATTTGGGGGACATGACTGGCTCCCAGTAAGCTTAAAGGCAGGTGGTCATCTTTAAAGAAGGATCTAGCACATCTTGACTCAGATTATCCCTTAGCCTACCTCTGGTGCATTCTTTGAGAACCCATTCAGTAAGACCTCCTCTACCCCACATCCTTTTGTACACACAGATGAGTGATCTCATAAACTCCCATTCCCGGGATGATAATTGCTTAATCATTCAGGGCAGAGTTTAAAAATGTCTTTTGAGGACTGCTTACCACGTTCTGGGCACCGTTTGAAGTCCTTTACGTATATTTATTTGTTCCATGACAATGCTATGAGGTAATACTATTTTATAGTCCTCATTTAACAGATAAGAAACTGTAGTCCTAAGAAGTTAATTAACTTGCCCAGGACTGGTATGGAACCCAAGTGGTCTGTTGTGGGGGCTGTGATTTTAAACTGCTCTTGGCAGCACAGGCTTATCCTCTGCACTTGTGCGGCTGGTGGAGGAAAGAGGGTATGGGGATGTGGGCATGCTTCCTCATGGGGAAGTCTCTCCATGCATCCAGGCTGTTGGCTACCATTTCTGGGGTCCTGGCAATCTCCCTGGCTTTCATTTTCTTGTTGGAAATGTGTCTGGCAGAAATAGTAGGCCATTGGTCATGGTGACAAGCCTTGACAAGTGTAGGAGAATGGCTTGCGCATAAAAACTCTGCTCTGCCTCAGCATCAACACAGACATTAGGCAGAGTATGCCCATGACACCTTGTCAAAGTTCTGTGACTTGGAAACCCCCACCTTCTCTGCCATGTATGCTGGTAGACATAATCTCATATCCTGGGGAAGACTTTACCCAGGGCATGGAAGCATTTGAAAAATCCTCGAGGACAGTTATTCTCAACTTGAGATGCTTGTATTGTAATATCTGGGGGGATTTTAACAATCCAGTTGCCCAGGCCACACCACAGTTGGCTACAGCAGATAGTCTGGTGGTGAGACCCAGGCAGCAGAATTTTTAAAGATCCTTCAGTGACTGCAACGTGCAGCCAGTCTCTACAACTGTGGGCTGGGGAACCCTGGTTCTAGGCCGAGTGATAGCTTCCGGAAGACAGCTGTTGTCTCTGATGGTGTGGCTCTTTCTCCCTGTTGTGCCCCTTGCTTCCTCTTGCCCTCACATTACAGTGGCTTCTGTTTGAACTGGGAGAGCACACCAAATGCGTTATTCAGGCCCTGGAGTCTAGCGTCTAGCTGCTCCAGGATTAAATAAAATGATAGCCCTATGTTTACCATCCAAGAAATTTTTATTTATTCAGTAGACTTGCACTGTGATAACAAACATTCTGTTTGTCTTAGAATGTTCTTCTTTTCCCACAATTGATACTTTGGATAGCTGCAGTTTGAGGTGTTTGTCTCATCCACTGGAACTTGAAATCAGGGAGAAACCAAAGTGCCAAGGTGTGGGGAAAGGCTGAGATCCTTCAGGACTTTTATTGGAGCGCTGTGAACTGTAGGAGAAAGGGAGCAGAGAGCTTCCAAGCAAACACATCTGAGGCTGGAGTAAGGGTCGCGTGGCATGCAGACTTAACTGCACCTCTCCCCTAATGAGGTTCATGGCCGCGGTCAGACCCGGTGAGTGGTCACCATGCTGTCCAGCAGGTTACTGGAACCAGAAGCTGATTGTGAAAAACTCACTGCAGAGGGCTTAGAGTCCTTCTTCCTTGTTCTTTCTCTTCTCTTTCATTGCGTTAGCCCATCCTCTCCCTATCTCCATGTCTCTCTATCTCACTGTTTTTCAATGTTAAGCCTTGTTCAGAATATCCATTTTGGAGATCTTTCTGACAATGTGCTGGGCTCCTTGAAATCCATATATTTCCATAGTATCCACCCATCCTACTGGTACTTGCATTCTTTGGACTCACCCGGGGAGCCCAATGCAAACAAGAAGGCAGTTTGAGCACAGGGAAAACACCTCTTCCTTCTGGGTCCCAATCTTTTACTTATTATATATATTTTTCTGTTCAAATTATGCATCTATCTTTAATTGGGCAAGTGGTTAAAATAAGAAAATCTTTTGAAGCCAATCTTATATTTTAAAAATAAGATGCAAAAATTTCGGGAGAGGGTCATTTGAAAGCAAATTTAACTGCATATTATTTTTTAAAAAAGATTTTATTTATTATTTGAGAGAGAGAGAGAGTGAGAGCGAGTGCACTAGCAGGGGGAGGAGCAAGGGGAGAGCGAGAGGGAGAAGCAGACTCCCCTCTGAGCAGGGAGCCTGATGCGGGGCTCGATCCTAGGACCCTGGGATCATGACCTGAGCCGAAGGCAGACACTCAACTGACTGAGCCACCCAGGTGCCCCTTAACTGCAGATCATTAAAAACAAAAACAAAAACAAAGTTTTCCAGAAATGTACTAACCATTTCTAATGGTCCCATTACTTTGTATGTTTGGAATAAGCTACCCACATGATAGTTGGTTCTTCCAGTTGATTGAAAAATAACCCTTATTACCAATTTTTCATTGAATATCTATGGGAAAAGTCATGATGAGACCATGACGAATAAGCTCAAGATTCTTTTCACATGAAATGTTTTATATAGAAATTATGTACTGCAAAATACAAAATCAGGATGTCATACTGATCTTGTTCTCCGTTCTAGGTTTTTTGGGAGTAAAGCTAAATAGCCACAGTCAGACTGGGTATCCTGTTGATAAAATGAAATAGTAGTTTTGGAGCTTCAAGAACTACTGATCTCCACCTTTCCTTGCTTCTTCATTAAATGCACACACACACACACACACACACACACTTCATTTTAGAAGTCATGTAACCACCTTACAGAAATGTTGTTAATGAGGGAAAAAGCCCCTCATAATTTCATTACTATGTTAAGAACACTTATTGTTGGGGGTATTCCTTATAGATTTTTTTTTCAAGCAAGTTACTTCCTTAAAAAAATAGTGTATAAACAAATTTATGTTATTTGTTCTCTTTATTGTCTCATAAACATTTTTACAGGTTGTAGCATAAAAGTTACAACTCGCATTGTGAATGGCCATCCATTCTATGGAGTGGATGTAGATACATATGGTTTCCTTCAACATGCCCCAATTTTCTAATTTCTCTCTCCTAAGTAATGTCATGGTTGTCTTTGTGAGTAGAGCCTCCTCTGCCCCCCAGGCCACCGCTGATATTTTAGAGCATTTCCCAAGACTGGCTTTCCAGAATGTGACTGTTGTAATTTGCCAAGCACTGCCACACAAGGCTGTTGGAGCAACAGCAGGCACTGCAGAGTCTCTAATAAATAACCCGCATTGATCTCCCATTTTGTGATTTATCTTGGTTTATTTGCTCTTCGAGCTTTGATTCATGGCTCCATGGGGAGATTTTGGAAAATCATTTACCCATCAGCTGAGGCATGCTGACTGTAGCCCATAAAAGGTCAAGGGGGAACAGACCCAAGATGGGGATCTCAGCCGCTGATCTTTCCAGGACGATAACCAGATTCTGCACACAGTGACCACAGGGAGGAAACATGGATAAGTTGTTGCTGTGTCTCCTGGTCATCGTTAACCTCACTGGTGCTTTTTTCCAAGGAGGTAGGCAATTGAAAAATAACCTTGCTTCAGATGGTCACTGAGTTCTTGTCTCTGGGCTAGACTGTGCAAAGCCACAGGGAAAATGGCCAGCATGGGGGAGAGGTGGTGGTCTGGGGATGAGGGCGATCTGGTTTCTAAATCTGTTCTATCCATACATACAGAGAGAATACATCTTCGTTGCCTGACAAACTGTTAAAAAAGAGACCACTGGCCCCAATGGAATCATTGGGTTAAGCCCCACATCAGCAAACCAAGACTTAACACCTAACCTGACTGAAGGGCCAGCCTCCCCTTGGAGTGTAACCTTTATCCAGTCAATCTGGAATCACCTACTCAGCCCTAGTGAGGTCGTCCGCCTGAGAGCAGTCCTTCCTTCCCCCATAGGAAGGTGACTGCCTGAAATAATCTCCTCTTTGCTAGAGACATTTTCTTCCTGAACCTTCTGTGACACAGCTCCTCAGAGCTCCTTCCTATCTGCTAGATGGGGTGCCGCCTGATTCATGAATCAGTGACTAAAGCCAACTAGATCTTTAAATGTACTCATCTGAATTTTTTTTTTTTAAACATAACTCAGCTGCTGACACTTTTTCTCTCTGTTTTCTATCCGACAGACACATACAGAAAGGCCTTTGTGTTCCCCACAGAATCAGATACATCCTTTGTGACCCTGTTTCCTCTGGTGCAGAAGCCGCTGAAAGCTTTCACCATGTGCCTACAAGCCTACACCGCCTTGTCCCGCCCTTATAGCCTCTTCTCTTATGCCACCAGGGCTCAGCACAATGAGATCCTTCTCTTCAGGGAAAAGCTTGGCTTATACAGCGTATCTGTGGGTGGATCTGACATCTACTTCAGGGTTCCTGAGACCTTTTACACACCAAGGCACTTCTGTGTTACCTGGGAATCCAGCACGGGGATTACAGAGCTCTGGGTGGATGGGAAGCCCATGGTGAGGATGAGTATGAAGAAGGGGTACACTGTGAGGGCAGAAGCAAGCATCATCCTAGGGCAGGAGCAAGATTCATTCGGTGGGGGCTTTGATAGCAACCAGTCCTTGGTGGGAGACATTGGAGACGTGAACATGTGGGACTACGTGCTGTCGCCAGATGATATCAGCACCGTCCACGCTGGTGGGGTCTTCAGCCCTAACTTCCTGAACTGGCAGAACCTGAAGTATGAAAAACGAGGTGAAGTGTTCCTCAAGAACCAGCTGTGGTCCTGAGCCCCTTTTGTCGGTGCTGAATTTGCCTCCTTGGTGGGGGGGGTCACACCTTACATTGCCCTGTCCCTGGCTTTGAGGCGTCGCTTTCCTACACATATGGCTCTGGGGCCTTGGGGGGCCGTATTTCCCTCTGCCTTCTCTTCCCTGTTTTCCTCAGCACAAGGGACAGTGCAGGGAAGAGGGGCTTTTCATAGAATTACCAGGCCACACCCAAGGCCAATTAAATCTGATTTTTGGGAGTGGGACGCAAGCATCAAAGGGATTCCAGTATTTGGTCAAGGTAGAGAGCCATGCGTTTTCAGTATGTTTAGGAGCAAGTGAGCCAACTTTTTTTTTTTTTTTTTCTCCTGGAAGACTGCCTGTGTTTACCTGCAGCCCTGCTAATATTCGCACTTCCCTTTAAAGGGAAACCCACCCCTTTTGATTGTGCTTTAAAGAATTAACTGCATAATCTAGGAGGAGAGTTTTTCCAGCATTTTGACCCACCATCCATTAGGATGTGGTCATTATAAGTTAGAATGATCTTTAATTCTTTAATCCTTTCAATTTGAAGATTTAAAAATCTAAAAAGTGTTTTGTTGTTGTTTCTGTTTCATTTGTTCTATTTTTTCTTCAGAACCACCAGTTCTCATTGTGTGATATATCTATTACTTCTCCTCCTTGTTTACGATCACACAGAGCACTCTTACCTGTGTGCCTCGTCCTTATAATGTGAGCTTTCACTTTTTTAAGCCTTTCCTCCGCATCACTGATTCATTTTTCCGTTTGGCATATTGGGATCCTTCCTATTTCTGATGGCACTGAAAATCCCACAGTGTGTTTTGAGCCTGTCTGGAATTCCTTCTTGGACTTAGTATGTTCTTTCAACACTCACCTTTCATCAAGTCCCTGTTTCCTTCAGTTTGCTTGAGAGCGTCATGCTGCATCAGATTTTCTAAATGTTCCTGTCATTAATCTTTTTGAAATCAATCTTTTGCATGCCTTAAATACTGTTCTTTCATGTCTTTGTACTTTTCCGTCATCCTGCTGCTCAAGGCTAGCATGAACCTCTGCCTGCTGACCTGGCCACAGTTAGACCCTGACAACCTCAGCCGGCCACCTGGGGACTCCTTTTCATAGGAGGAGGTCCTGGTCATACAGCACCCACCGCAACAGCCTGCAGCTCCCTGTCCAAGTGACCACCACCACCTCCCCCAGTCTCCACCAATCGTCCCACACTGTCATAGGTGCACTTATTCAGTCATCTGTGTCTTCATTTCTCTATCAGTGGAGTAAGGAATGCTGGAGAGGACATAATAGCAGCTTGATTCAGCAAGACCAGGTCTTGGATTCTTTCGGAGAAGGGTCCTAGGCAGGGGAAGGTTCCATCTGCCTCTGACAGACTCCTCCTTTTGGGAAGAGGAGGGGCTTGTGCTGATATCTTTCCCAAGTCTGACATCCACTGGTCCACAGTTCAAGGTCAAGTGTCATATGCACATGGCAGCTTTCCCTGGGGCTCTGGGACCCTTCCCTCTCCACCAGGTGAGAAGTAAATAGAGGCTCTCCTTGCTGAGTTGTCTCGGAGCTTAGATCTGGGGGAGGGGGGTTTCAGGAAGGCCTTTCTTACTTTGGATTCCAGCTGCATTCTTGGCCTGCTGCAAGACAAGGCTGGTGCTGTGATCCTTATTTGAGTCCTATCTCTATTTCTCATTTCCTTTAGAACGTGCAGGAGAGGAAATGAGGTTGTCCCCTCAGAGCTCTAAATGCCACAAGGAGAGAAAGACGTTCCTTCATTGAGAGGTCTGTACTTTCTCCACCTACAGTGGCAGGAAGGGGGGTTGGTAGGACTCCAGGCCTGTTAGAGCAGTAACAGAATGGTGGGCGGCCTGTCACAGGAGATGGGGCTTACAGCTGGAGCCAGTGCAGGTTTACCCAAGAGTTCCAACTCTGGAAATTGAGATGTTCCTCAGGGGCTGGGGCAGGTTCACCTCAAGGTGGTGAGATTAAGCCCTCTGTTGGGCTCTGTGGTCAGCAGGGAGTCTGCTTGAGATTCTCTCTCTCCCTCTCCCTCTGCCCTTCCCCCCTAAAATAAATAAATAAATAAATAAATAAATAAATAAATAAAATCTTAACAAAAAATAAAATGGGGATAATGTAGGGGCTCATTTACTGGCCCATAGCTAGTGCTTAAGGCATGCTATCTATGATTTGCTAATAGTACTGTTAGCTTGATCATGATTGTGGATTTCAAAGACCCAGACTCTGGATCAGAGACCCAGTAGGTTGAAAGGATCCAGCCATGAATAGATCCAGAAGGGAGTCTCTAGCTCTGAGGGCGATGTGTCAGCTTGCCATGGAGAAAAAATCATGGACACTCTTACAGACTTATGGGACAAGAGGGCGCCTTTGGAAGGTCTGTCCCAGGGATGCTGTGGTTTCAGGAAACAAGTTCACTCAGAGGCAGAATGAAGAGACAGGGAGAGGGGAAGAGGCTTCTGAATTTGGCAGAAGACTCCCACTCAGATTTTTAGGAGGACATCGGAAACTCAGAGGGGAGGAAGTCAACCTAAAAAGACAGGCCTTATGCTACAGTGAAACCACCAGGAAATGGGAAAGGCGAGGGAGTTCTGTGACCTGTCTGCATGGGGCCACAGGACAGAAGGCCAGGGTCGGTGGGCAGCTGGCCTCGAAGGGCAGAGGGTCCATTGAGAAGGGGGCGTTACAGGGAGCAACACAACTCAAATTCTAGGGCAAAGAGGTGATAAGGCAGCGGTCTCTGTCACTGAATAGCCTGTCACTTTGTGTCTGGAAACTCTAATCTGAGGACAGGTGGTGGTCGGGGGGCACTGGGCTGGAGGACACGGGGGTCACCGCTGGACCCTAGGGTAAAGGCGCTACCTACGGCGTCACTGACCCTTTGCTGGGAGGTTAGGCTCAAACAGGAAGCATCTCCACACAGGCTTCCCTATTGCCATTAAGCAGAGAGAAGGACCTTCCCAAACATAAGGGAGAGCCACCCCCTTCTACTGAACAGCCTGCACAGGGTTCCTGAGCCCCTAGAATACACTGGAACGTGCTCTCTGGCCCTCACGGCTCTGTGTTTCCTGACTTGTTCCCCCTCTGTCCTTCTGCCATTTTGCCTGTTCATTTCCTCCACAAACAGGTGCCAAATGCTTGTGGTGTGGTGGGCACTCGCTTCAGATGCATGGGATAAACAGGAAAGCCACAGAAACAAGAGTGACGGAACCACACACACAGATGCGGTCTCAGTCACCTGGGACTTGGATTACAGCAAATTTACACGTGTGATATGTTTCCACAAGGAGCTGGCATGTGCTCTTTCTCCAGATCCTCACATGGCCGGTTTCATATCATTTGTTTTCTTGATCTGTTCTTAGTTTCTAAGCAGATATCACTACTTGAAAAAAATTAGTGGTGCGGGTTTCAATATTGTTTCCTCTCCCACTAGACTGCAAATTCCACGAGAGCAGGGACATTATTGCCTATTGTATTCCCAGTTTCTATGATGACTCATAGTATGTTCTCAATAAATATTTGATGAATTAATTAATTCTAGAGAAGGCAGAAGCAGGGAAGAAATGGTTCGGATGCAGCTGAGGATGGAGAGATGCATAAAGAGTGGGATGTTGTGAGCCCATAATTTTGCTCATGGGATGGTCTGCTGTGTGTGACTGTAAACTTGCTCCTTACAGAAGGGAAGGAGTGGCTGGAGTCCGCACTGGATTCTGCATGATGCTTCTGGGAGTAAAGCAGGTAGGGAAATGGAAATTAAAAAAAAAATATTAAGAAGGGATGCCTGGGTGGCTAAGTCGGTTAAGCATCAGCCTTTGGCTCAGGTCATGATCCCAGGGTCCTGGGCTGGAGTCCCACATTGAGCTCCTTGCTCAGCAGGGAGTCTGCTTCTCCCTCTACCCCTCCCCCTGCTTGTGCTCTTTCTCTCTCTGACAAATATATAAATAAAATCTTAAAAAATATTAAGAATAAATGTTGGAGTAGGCAGTTAGTTAGGTTCTAACAGGAGACCTGGCGGTCTGCAACAAGGAAGCCACGGCCAACTATTGGGAAGGTCCTGGCAGCCGTCCACAAGAATCCAGATCAAACCAGACAGGCCCAAGATGGCGGATGCCATGGCAGGAAACCCCTGACCAAACAAGGAAGAAAAAACTCGAAACCCTGCTTCCTGCCCCAAGTAATAAATATTCTGCCCCTTAGTTAACAGCTGTCAATAAAAGATAGAAACCCAACCCCCAGGGCACACTGCGCTCTCTCTCGCTCAAGCTTGGCCGTTCTCCTCTCTGGAGAGTATACGTTTACCTTTAATAAACGTTCCTGCTTATGTAACTTGTCCACTGTGCTGTCTGTTCTTGAATTCATTCTCCTGACAAGACCAAGAATTTCTGAGACTCTTTGGGGTCTGGTTGGGTCAAGGCCCCAGGGCCTGGGGTTTCCCTGGTTTACCCGGCAACGTGAGTAGGGCAGATAAAGGGGATGAAGGGTACGCTTATCTTGATGTGCACTGAATAATGCATGGAATTGTTGAATCATTATATCGTACACCTAAAACTAATAACACTCTATGTTAATGATACTTCAATAAAAATAAAGAAAAAAATGATAAGAATAAGTGGGGTAGACAGTAGGGGGATCAGGTAGCTTCAGGAGAAATCTGCCTATTGCAGATTTGCCAATTGCACACCATTACCAATCTCTCAATTTTTCAGAGACAGAAGTATTTCAAACGCTCATTACCACAATAAGAGGCAGGACACAGATTGGTGAATTTCCCCCATGGACATTGCAGCACAATGAACTTCTTGACAGGAGGGTGATTTCTCCCAAATGTGTGTGTGTGTGTGTGTGTGTGTGTAAGGCTTGTGCTTACTCTTTAATGTTGAAATTTGGCTAGAGTCTCTTGTTTTTAGATCAAAGTATAATGAAGGAGAACAGAATATGCCACCTCAAAGCACGCCTTTTTGGCATATTGACTCTTTTGAGCTGGTTATTTCTAAGAAACAGCAAATATAGGAGACACTTTGAAAACGGAGTAGAAGGGACCCTATTGTAAGAGACATTTGCATTTATGAGGGGAATCTCCATTCATAAGGGTGTCTCCCTCTCTGTACCCGGAAGACGGGGATGACTTAATCTCTAGACTCTCTTATCAGTGGAGAAGGTCAGGATGATATAAATGTGCTGAACAACCTCACTCTTGTTCACTGTGCTTTTCCTGGTGACTCCCCACCCCCAAGGCCTTCCTTTGTCTTTAGCTGGCCTAGGTATTTAAATTGATGGCTTGGGCCATTTTCGAGAGTTTCTCAGTTTTCCTGTCTGTCTTCCACATTGACAGGAAGAACACATGTTATTAAATTTCTATTTGTTTTTTCTCCCATTAATCTGTCTTTTATTGCAGGGGGTCTCAGCCAAGAACCTAGAAGCGTAGAGGGAAAATTATTTTGCCTC